ATGTGGAAATTGTTTAATCCTTCCTTCAAATTTAAATGATAATCTTGCTGGATACAGTATTCTTGGTTCAAGGCCCTTGTGTTTCATTGCATTAAATATATCATGCCATTCTCTTCTGGCCTGTAAGGTTTCTGTTGAGAAGTCTGATGATAGCCTCATGGGTTTTCCTTTGTAGGTGATCTTTTTTCTCTCTCTCTGGCTGCCTTTAATACCCTGTCCTTGTCTTTGATCTTTGCCATTTTAATTATTATATGTCTTGGTGTTGTCCTCCTTGGGTCCCTTATTTTGGGAGATCTGTGGGCTTCCATGGTCTGAGAGACTGTTTCCCTCCCCAGCTTGGGAAAGTTTTCAGCAATTATTTCTTCAAAGACACTTTCTATCCCTTTTTTTCTCTCTCTTCTTCTTCTGTTACCCGTGTAATGCAAATATTGTTCCATTTGGATTGGTCCCACAGTTCTCTTAATATTATTTCATTCCTAGAGATCCTTTTATCTCTCTCTGCCTCAGCTTCTCTGTATTCTTGTTCTCTTATTTCTATTCCATTAACAGTCTCTTGCCCCTCATCCAGTCTGCTCTTAAGTCCTTCTATTGATTGTTTCATTTCTGTTATCTTACTCTAGACTTCATCCCTTAGCTCTTGCATATATCTCTGCAGGTCCATCAGCATTGTTTTCACTTTTATTTTGATTTTTTTTCAGGAAGATTGGTTATTTATATCTCACCAGGCCCTCTTTCTCGTGTTGTTTGAGTGATTTTGGACTGGACCAGGTTCTTCTGCCTTTTCATGGCCATAGAAGTGATTGCTGGGAGGTGGTGCATGTGTCAGCTGGGAGAACAAAGTCTCTTCCTGCTTGCTGGTTGTGTTGCCCTTCTCTGCTGCCTGTGCCAGTTACCTGGGCACAGAGAGCAGTCTCTGGGTTAATCCCTTGAGCTGCCATGAGTGGGACGGCCCTCGGGATAGCCTAGGACACTGACAGGGGTCACAGAGGAGTAGTGTGTGTTCTCCTGCAAGGATGGCACCCCTTTATGCCTTCCAGACCTTGCGCTAGCTTCCTCTGCCTGTGGTGGGCAGCTGTGTATAGGCAGCAGCCCCTGGGTCTGGCCTGGTTAGCTGCATGCTAAAAGAAGACTCTGTGTGGTTACTGTGGGTGGGGCTGCTCCCTGGCTGGTCCACAACAGTGGCGGGTCAGCCGGTTTGCTTGTAGTGCCAGTGGGTGGGGAATGAACGGCAGGCTGCTTATTGCCATGAGGGGCTTCAGAGCTGCGTTGCCACCCAGGGGGTTGGGGTGCCTGAACTTCCTTAAGATTCCCAGCCTGGTGGGCTGAGTGTGCCAAAACGATTTTGTCCACCTGTTAAACCCTTGTACCTTTAATACTTTTAAAGTGCCTGCTTTTCTTTTCTCCCAGGGGAGCCGGCTGTGGGGACCCGCCCGCAGTCTCCATCTCGGATTTTACTTTTCTGTCTCTCTCATATCCAGTTCACCATGCAATGTGTGTCTGTGCTCCCAATGCCAATTACTAGAGCTGGTGATTTAGTAATCCTGTGCTTTCACTCCCTCCCCACGCTGATCCTTTTCTTCCTGCCGGTGAGCCAGGTCACCGCTTTGTATCTTACCCTTTTCATGAGTTGCTGACTTCTTGCAGATGTAGATGTAGCCTGGCTGTTGTACTATATCTTCTGGTCTCTCCTTTAGGAATAATTGTATTTGCTCTATTTTCAAAATATATATGGTTTTGGGAGGAGATTTCTGCCACCCTACTCATGCTGCCATCTTGAGCGCTCCACCTCTTTTCTTTTATTGAGGGCATTCAATGCAAGGTATTAAATTCAATGCAAACCCATTTGTGGGGAATTAAGTGCTAAGACACAGAACAACATTTGGGTGAGGAATGCTGGGTGAACATCATTGCCCAGCTTTGCAGATGAAGAAAATGGGCCCAGAGAGGCTGAGACCTGTGCACATTGTAGTCAGGCCTGGGCTCTCTCTGCAGTGCTCTCCTTAGCCCATCTTCCTGCCTTTCAGCATTGCTTCCTGAGAAGGTTCAAGAAGGAACTGGCTTCTTGGGAGGGTGGAGTGGAGGCCCTGAGCCTGGCTGAGGGACAGCACTGCAGCATGCTAGGGGACCACCATTCTGCCCCTGCCTCCTTTACACTCCCCTTGGCTCTACAGGCAGAGCTAGGTGGCTCAGTCTTCAGCAGGGGGCTCTGGCTCCTCTGCCAGGGGTGGAATGCATGGGGACTGAGGGGGTCAGCTGTCTGGTGTTCCCCAAGCCCTGGCACCTCCCCTGTCCTTCCGCGCTCTGTCGTGAGCTGGGCTGCTTGGAACCTCCGCATCAGGAGGCAGAGGGCCTGACACAGAGCGGGAGAGGCCTTTGCGGGTTGTGTTCTCTAGTGTCTCTTATTGGCTGTAGGAGTGTCCCTTTTTCAAAATCTTTGGTGGTCTCCTGGACTCTAACAGAACCCTGCGAGTTAGGTATTTTTACTCTACTTTCAGAGTTAGAAACTGAGGCCCAGACAGGTGAAATGACCTGTCAGAAGTCACACAGTGTGCAGAGGTGGGATTCCCACTGGGATGTGTAACTCCAGTGCATTCTCTGCTCTAGGCCAAGGGTTTGCGATGTGCAAGGCTCTGCCGGGAGCACTTTGTGGGCTTATGCCTTAGGTGCTGGGTCTGTCTCCTCAGGGGAGCCTATTTTCCCCTGGCCAGGGGCCTGAACTGTCAGGCAGGGCTTCCCTTTGGAATTTCCTTTGTCTGCAGCTGCCTCTGGTCCCACATCTTGTAGAATTAGCTCATACACTGCAGTGGCTTCCCCTCTAGATGGGGAGTCCTAATGGCTGGGACAGTAGCTGCTTATCCTGCTTCTCTGTGCAGCCTGGTACAGGGATGACCCAGGACCTGAGGGGCCCAGGGAGGACTAGCTGACAGAGGAACCCCACTTGTTGAAGTAGGGAAATGGGAAATAAGATCAGAGATGCCCATGGTGTTCTTTGGTGCAGGGCCTGGAATACCATGGCTATACTTAAATCTAGTTGAGAATGGAGAGTGGTTGGCAGTTCTTAAGTAGGGGACTGACACTGCTAGACCTGTGTTCTAGGCACACTGGTCTGGGAGTCAAAGATGGGCTGGAAGGGAGAGATGGAGGCTCAGAGACCAGGGGGGAGGTTGTTGGAAAGGTGAGGCAAGAGGTGTTGGAGGCTGACCTCAGCCAAGAGCAGCAGCCAGGATGAAGTTGGAGCTTATCCGAGAGGCAGTCCTGAGCCACCATGGGAGGTGGAGTGCATGCACATAGACTCAGGTCAAAGGCCACACCTTGGAGGAAGGGCTCTAGGACTTCTACTGGCCAAGTTGTGGTGGGGAGAGAGCCCACGGTGGGGGCTGCCGTGAGGCCAGTGCTCCCCACCTTCCTTAACCCCCTTTACTCCAGCCCCCTGAATTGGTGCTCAAGGAGCCCTAGCAGCCAGCAGACTTTGCCTTTAGCAAAGGTGAAGTTCAGAGCAAACCCCTCCTTCCTGTAGTTCTCTTGGGGCATTTGAGGGATGGGATGCTTCTAGTCTGCGTAGCCCGAAGTAGAGGTGCCCCGTTAAGTGTCTGCGCAGGTTGCTTCCTGCACCAGGTGTTGTGCTGAGGGCTTTACAGGCTTGACTAATTCAGTCCCTTTAGAAGGTAGTTGCTATGATTAATCTCACTTCATAAACAAGGAAGCTGAGGCTTCAAGGGCTTCAGCTGTCATAAGACTAAGGGCCAGGGTGGGGACTGGAGTCCAGGTCTGTCTGATGCCTGAGCCTGTCCCACTGCCCACCGGCTCAGACTTCACGGACAGCTCAGGATCCCAGAAGCTGCTTGTTTACAGAGTGGGTCTTGGCCCTCAGTCCCAGAGATCCCGATTCAGGTTTGGACAGGTCCTGGGAATCCGCTTAGAAACAAGTTCTCTGTGGTAGCTCTGAAAGAGGGGTCAGAGGACCCTGTTCTGAGATTCTCTGCCCAAGCCCACCATCCTTGCAAAGCCCCCCCATCAGCCCCACTGAAGAAGCTGCCTGAGCACAGAGCTCTGTGGTTTCTGTAAACATCCCATTGAGCAACCTGGGCCTGGCCTCAGGCCAGAGGTGCTCCCTCCTCCTCAAGAAAGGGGTCCTCATGGGGAGAGGGCTTCATGCTCTGGAGGAATCCTGGGGATTCTAGACTAAGGACAATGCCGCTTATCTACAGGGATTTGCAAAATCACAGCAGAGGCAGCTACCAGAGGAAAGGGGACGAGGTTGTAGGTGACAGATGTTGGATCGAGTCCCAGTCCTACCACAGTGCCCTCAGCAGCACTGCAGTTCCCTGCTCTTGGCAGGATGGGGGCTGGACTCAGTCCCTCCCAGATTTGTCCTGCTGTGGCTGGTGGCCCCTGACAGCTCCTGGCTGCTCTCTAAGCTGCCGCGTGGGGGAGAGCATGGAGGAGGAAGGTGTGTGGAGAAGAGGTCTTACCTGTGAGTCCAGCCAGGGTAGGGGAAGCACGGGGCCTCCTTAAGGCTCCTTAGGGCTCCATCCCAGGTGGCGGCAGCAAGGATCTGCCTGCTTCTTGCCATTCACTGTCGTCTTTGCTGCCTAGGCTTGGCACCTATCTTTATACACCCCAGCTGACCTGAAACCTTACCCTAGAGAAGCTAGTTGACAGCCTGATCACTTACAAGAGGGCTGGTGAGAGGCAGGGAGGGGAGAGCAGAGCTCAGAGTTCCAGGTCTGCTTCAGCTCCTTTGATCTGGGGTTCTTTAGAATAGCTCCTTCCAGCTGCTGAAAGAAGAGCTACCTTGGTGACAAGGGTATATTTTGGGGTGGGGGGGTTGAACCTGTCACCTGTGAGAATCCAGAGGTCAAGGCCTTCCATGATAGGCTGGGCTGAACTCTTCTGGGCCTCCTCTTAATAATGACAATGATAATAACTGCCATTTCTTGGTGCCTACTATGTGCTAGATTCTTGAAGTACATTATTGCTATTTTTCACAACCCTATGAGGTAGGTACTATTAGGATTCTAAGATTTTTAAATAAAAGCTTTATTGAAATATAATTTGCATGCCATATAATTCACCTATTTAATGGGTACAAGTCAGTGGAGTCAGTGGTTATTAGTGTGTTCAGTTATGCAACCACCATCATGATTTTAGAAGATTTTCATTACCCTTCCCGCAAATCCCCGTATATATGTTGGCAGTCACCCATTCTCCCTTTCCACCCAGCCCCCGGCAATCACTGATCTCCTTGCTGACCCTCTAGATTTCTGAACATTTCATATAAATAGAGCCATATGATACATGGCCTTTTGTGACTGGCTTCTTTCACTGAGCATGGTGTTCTCAAGATAGTACTTCATTCCTTTTTATTGCTGAGGATTCTAGTATTTGTAATGCTTATTTTACAGAGGAGAAAATCTGAGTCTCAGGGAGGGATGACTTACCAAGGTTGTACAGCTAGTAGGTGACAGGGCCTAACCTACCTGAAATTTATAATGGACTCTGGGCCTATCTGCTGTGACCCTATTGTCTACGACAGGGCACTTGAAGGCTTCAGCATGGACACTGCTGGAGCCAAAAGGGAGCTGGGGAGGGTGTGGGGGGCAGGCCAGGAAGGGTCTGTGGCAGCTACTATAGGCTTCACTGGTAGATGCTGAGGGTAAGGGTTGGGCATATCTGGAACCTGAGACCAAGTGACAGGAAAGAGGAGAAGGATGGGGGGAAGAGAGATAATTAAGTGGGTGGGACAGAGGAGACAGAGGCCATTTCTGGACTTGTACACAGAACTGTGGCCACAGGGCACATGGTCACAAGTCCAGACACTCAAGTGCTTAGCCTGCCCTGGGCTGTGTCTGCCCACCTCCTAGGACCCAGCCCTGCCCTCATGTCAGCAGCACAGGCAGTACTGTTCGTGTTGTGAGGCAAGGAGTGCTAGGGCTGCTGTGGTTGGGAGCCCCCAGCAAGCAGGTTCTGGGCTCCATCAGGAATTGCTGGCCCAGAGGTGGTGGGTGAATTGCAGTGGGTATGTGGGGAGGGATAAACAGGAACTTAAGGGGGCAGAGGGCCCTGGAGAAACCCAGAGGCAGGGAGGGCTCAGCTTACCGTTGGCCTGGGAGACTTCTTGAGGGCAGGGCCTGCCTGCTTGGCTCCCTGTACCCAGAATCCAGCATGTGCTAGAAGTTCCAAAGTTGGCTACTTTGGGCTAGGATCAACCAGCTTCTGGGTGATCAGAAACACTTGTTTTCAGGTCTCTGCGGAGGGAGTGCTTAAAGGGAAGTGGCCCATTCTGTTGGTCGTGGTGGTGGGATTAAACATGTACCTTGTGTCCTTAACCCATGCTGCATGACTTCCCAGCTGTTACTGGGAATTCAATACAAGTTCCAGGGGGAAGATAATGGTAAATAACACACCCTTTGTAAGTGTAGGTGGTGGGCTTCTTCAGACCTTCAGGGTGCCTTTGTGTTCAGAGGCTGCCCTCCACCTTGGTAGGAGTGCCAGGGTCCTCCTGTGGCCTTATCCTAAATTGACCCCAATCAGGTTATTTACAGGAGCTGGAGCAGGATTTGGAAGGAATACTGGTCACCTGAGGCTAACACCTCAGGCCTGGGCCCCTGACTGCCCCTCTGTAGGTTCTCTGTGGCCTCAAGGGAGGCAGAGCCCTGCGTCTTGAAAGCTCATGACCTGAGAGGGAGACAGACACTGGTGGGGAGGGAAGGGGACAGGCTGAAGGTTAGAGGCCCAGATGAACAGATGAAGGGGGGCAGGCTGGTCAGAGGGCACTTGCTAACCTCCTGGGGCTTGGCATGTCCCTGTGCCCTAGGGCACATTCCTTCGGAGGTTGGGTGGGGCTGACATTTCCTAAGCTGCTGGCTAAGTGCCAAGTGCCGGTGAAGCACTTTCACAAATGTCATCTCATTTAATCCTCACAACAACCCTATGAAGCTGGGGTTATCTCTGTTTCACACAGGAGGCGGCAGGGGCTCAGATGAGCGATAGTCAAGCCAGAGGGGGCCTGTCAGGGACACGGCAGAGCCAAACCGGTCTCTTCTCTATTCCCAGCTGCATGGGGCCCCAAGTGCCTTACTGGTTCCTTCTCTGGGCTCACCCCCAGACTTCTCTCTTCTCAGAAGCCCCCTCACTGCTCTAGCCCATGTGGTCTTTCTTTCCCCGCGAATTTGCCAAGTCAGAGCACTTAGTCTGTACCCTTGTGCAGAAGCCTTGTGACATCTCTGGAGATGTCTCGTGTAGTGATCCACTTCATAGCTACATAAACAGAGGCAGATTACTCACCTTCACTGAGCTTCAGTTTAACTATAAAATGGCTATCATAATATGTAAGTTTTATAGAGTTATTCTTTGGACTAAGTGAAATGACCTGTGCTTGGGATAGAAAGCAGGGCCCTCCACGTTACTTAGCTTCCTTCCAACCTTCTCTCCCAGCCACTCTGCACATCTTGGCCCCTTTCCCCACAAGCCCTGTCTTCAGTAGCTGCTCAGATACTTGGGAGTGTGACAGTCTAAGCCAGAGCTACCCATCCCACAGAGTGGGGGATTCTGAGCCCACCTGTTCTGGGGAGCATTCCACTTTGCTGACAGAGGAGAGGCACCAGCAAAGAAAATACTGGGTGTCACCCTATCCTGGACCATCCTGATCTTTGGGGGAGCCCAGAGGTCTCATGGTGACCCTGCCCCCATGGGTCCAGATGAGCTTCTCCAAGGGACTTATGGTTGTCAAGCTTTCTGTCTGGCCCTCAGAGCACAGACAAAGTCCTAATACCCCAGGCCAATGGCCAACGCAGGAGACACTAGTGCACAGAATACAAATACCAATATGATTTTATTCAAACACAGGCAGGAACAATGACCTTCAGAGCTGGGTAGAAACAATAAGTTAAAAGTATGGTTAAAATTTCATACTTTTGTTTGAAAGATAAAAAAAGTTTGAGGGAAGTGATTTCCCTCTCCTCTCCTATTAATTCAACAGCACAAAAATAATTTGTATCTATAAAATACCCTTATCCCAAGCAAATGAACAGGAGAGGGCCCTAGGTTTTCCCTTGCTAGGAATGATGCACACAAACCTTGCCCCTCACCCACCGCCCCCCAACCCTCAAGGCAAAATGACCCAGCACACTTGGGCAGAGGGTGGGCTCCTATCAGCAGTGGCTGTGTGTCAAGAACACTGGAGGAGTTTCTCAGCGACAGATGCCTGCTTGTGTCCCTTGGTGAAAAGATGGGTGGGCCACCAGGGCGCTGGAATCTGTTTTGTCACTAGCCTTTGCCTCACCATGAAAGGAGGATCTGAAGTCCTGGCAAGCAGACACCGGGCTGCTCTGGGACGCGCCTCCAGTCTGGGCTCACTGGGCCTCGCGGCGCCCACATACGAGCCTGGTGGTGGCCTCACGGCCCTGAAAGCAGCAGACCTGGTGCCTCAGGCTCTTGGGCTGCATTAGTCTTTCTGGGAGTATTGAGAAGAAAATATCCGTGCGATCCTGCGAGTTTCTTCCTCAGGCAGGTTGGGAGGCAGCAAGTGAGATCTGGGGCGACAAGGACTTTGGGATGAGGCTCCACGGGTGGCCTCACTCTTGTCCTGAGAGGGAGAAGTCAGCGCAGTGAGTACTGAATATATGGCCCTGCCAAGAGACGACTTTGATTCCTCTAGTCTTTTGGCCCTTGGGCTGATAGTGATATAGAGCGGACTGGTAGACAAAGCACTTAATACACCTGATCAGGTATAACCTTTACCTTGACCCCACAGGTGGGTTCATCATTCCCGAATCATGGATGAGGACACTCCTGTTCAGGTTAAATAAACTCAAGGTCCCACAGCTCAGAGTGGCAGAGCTAAGATGCGAACCCAGCTCAGACTCTTTCCGTGCCTCTGGACAAGGAGGGGCATCTCCTCCAGGACAGGTATGAAGCCTCATTGCCTCAGTTGCTGCAAGAATCTAGACAAACCATTTGACCCTGGGAATACATCCAACTGCCAAAGAGAGGAGGTTGTTGAGCAATGTATGTTCTACCGCCCTGTCCCAAGCTGAAGCTGCCAGGCATGTGAAGCCCATGCCCATGGCCCTGCTACCAAACATCTCCCTGCTCTGGGCTGACAAGGTACCACTGATTCTCCCCCTTTTTTGGCTGCATACTCTGTGCCAGGTTCCTACCCTGAAGGAGCTCAAAGCTGAGAGCAAGGCTCTGGGGAAGAGGCTGTGCTACAGACATGGGAGTTGCTCCCACAGGCAAACTTGGCTGACTTCCCAGCACGCAGCCTGCCCTGTGGATGGGTATCTCTTCCCTGTCCCAAAATCCTGTGAACTGAGGTTGTCCCAAGCTGATTAGACACTGAGAGCATACAGTACCACTCTCCTCAGGCATCGACAATCAGCTTGACGGAGACCCTAGAGCCTGAAATTACCTCCCTGCTCCTTGCAGTTCTGCTAATGGGACACTGAGGCCCAGCTAGATTTGCTTCTGGGATCTGTACCTTTCAGGAATCCTTTATTTCCTTCATTTGTTTAACCTTTTTAATGCCTGCTCTGAGAGGCAGACAGATATGAACAGAACCCAGTTCTTGAACTCCACAGTCAGAGTTAAGCTGGGGACACAGAAAGATCCACTCAGATTTAGAATAGCAGCTAGAATGTGACAAGG